GGATACCTGAGGAAAGCGGATTAGATAGTACTGAAAAGAGGAGTAGTGGATTGGCTTACAGATGAGTAGAAAAGAACTGGACAGAAGCATCTAGGGAAACAAGGACAGAAACCACAGAAAAGAGCAAAAGAGATAAACGGAGCAGAGTAAAAAGATTTAACATGTAGTGGGGTCACAGGAAAAGGGAAAGAATGAAACAGAAGCAATACCAGAAGAAAGAATAGCCTAGAATTGATCAAATCTGATATATATCAAAGCACACATTCAAGAAGCAGGATAGATGCAAAGACCATCATACTGAGTCATTTCATAACAAAACTGCTAAAAAACAAAGACAAAAAGAAAACCTGAAAAGCAAGCAGAGGGAAAAGATGTGTTACTTTTAAAGGGGCAGTAATATGACTGACAGTTGACTTCTCAAAGGATATAGAAATTGTGAAACAATGGAATTTCTTCAAAGTGCTGAAAGAAAATGGCTGGCAGCCTTGAATTTGATTCCCAGCAAAAACGTTCTTTAAATATTGTTACAAAAAGACACATCAGAGAAACAAGTACTAAGTGAATTCATCACCATTACAACACACTGATGTAAAATGTAAAGGTTGTCCTCTAGGTAGGGGGATGATAATCCCATTTGGAAAAATGGATATGTAGGAATGAATAAAAACACAATGGAGATGGTAAATACATCCAAAATCAGTAAATCAAAATGAATACTGACTGTTTAAAACAGTAATAAAATTAATGTCTCACAATGCTTAAAATACATTGTAGAATTACCAAAATAATCTATGTGCTGCTTACAACAGATATTATAAACACAAGAAGGAAGAATGGTTGAAAGTAAAATAATGAAAAAGACATACCATGAAACAAAAACCAACAGAATATATGCCAAGAAGTATCATTAGCAATAAAGAGAAACTTTTCATAAAAATCAAAGGGTCAAGTTACCAGGAGATATAACAATTCTAAATGTGTAGACACCTAATAGCAGTTAAAGATATACTAAGCAAATATTGACAGAACTAAAAGAACAAATAAAAATTCAGAGCTATAGAGGATGATCATCAGCACACCTCTGTCAGTAACTGATAGAACAGTCTGACCTAATTTAGTTGAAAGTACAACGTAGATAAAAAGAAATCAACAAGATACATTAATTAAGAAACCTAGATAAGACACTTCACAGATTTGATCAAATTGGCATATATAGAACACTGGCCCCAACAATTACAGCATATACATACTTTTCAATTGCACACAGTTCCCAAAAGTAGAACATATGCTGCATTCTAATGCAAGTCTCAGAAAATTTCAAAGGACTGAAATTCATTCAGAGTGTGGTCACTGACCACTATGTAATTAAGCTAAAAATAAATAACAAAGTTGAAAATCTCCCAAAAGTTTGGAAATGAAACAGTATGCTTATACACAATCCACAGGCCTAAAAAATTACAATTAAAATATTTTGAATTGAATAATGAAAATTTCACATATAAAACTTGTGGCATGCAGCTAAAGCTATGCTCAGAGGAAAATGTATAGCTTTACATACCTGCATTAGAAAAAAAGGTCTCAACATCAATGATTTAAATATCTATCTTAGGATGTTATAAAGAGAATTAGTGAATAATAGAGGGAATTGACAAAGTCAAAAGTTGATTCTTTGAACAGATTAATAAAATTGGTAACCTACTGTTGAGAACAAATCATATAAAAAGCGTACATAAGTTATCAATATCAGAAATGAAAAGGGAGATATCCCAATGCTCCTAGAGACATTAAGGAGATAAATGAAGGAATATTTGAACAATTTTTGTTACTGAGTTTTAAATGATAGAAGGAACGAACAAATCCTAGAAGAACACAGTTTACTAAACTGACCCCCCCAAAAAAAATAGAAAATCTGAATAATCCTATAACAACTAAAGACATTCTTACAAAGAAAACCCCATGCCCAGATGTCTTCATCAGTAAGTACTATCAAATACATAAGAAGTTGTAAGCCATTCTCTCTCATGAACATAGAAGTGAAAAGTCTAAAGAAAACAATCTTGAAAAATCATATTTAGAGGTATAGCAATCATATAGTATGATATTATGTCACAAGTAAGTAGGATTTATCCCAGGCAGAGGGTTGGTTTAACATTAGGATTTGATCAGTGCAATTCATCACATTTACAGAATAAGGGAGTAAAATTATATAGTCATCTCAATAGATTATAGCTAAAGTACTGGATAAAATGTAACACCAAACTGAACTCAAAATAGAAGGAAACTACCTTAATCTGATAAATATTATGATAAAAAACAAATTTACAGCAAATATTATACTTAATAATAAAACACTAAAACTTCCCTTTGAGATCAGAAATAAGACAAGGATATTTACTATCATCATTTGTATTCACAAATTATATTGGAGATTTTAGCCAAAGTGGACTGGATATCCATATAAAAAATAATTAATCTTGACTCTCTACATCATACTACTCATAAAAATCAATTCCAGGTGAATTAAATATTTAAATGTGAAGATAAAACAATAAAGCTTCTAGAAGATAACAGGAGAATATCCAGGAATACACAAAGATTTGTTAAACCAAATTCATAAAGTATAATTCTAAAGAAAAATATTGATATATTGGACTACTTTATTTATTTATAAGATTTTATTTATTTATTTATTTATTGGACAGAGTGACACACAGAGAGGGAACACAAGCAGGGGGAGTGGGAGAGGGAGAAGCAGACTTTCCACTGAGCAGGGAGCCCAATGTGGGGCTACATCCCAGGACCCCGGGACCATGACCTGAGCCAAGGTCAGTTGCTTAACCAACTGAGCCACCCAGGCGCACCTAGACAAGAGATTTAAACACAAAGGATGATATCCAAATAGACAATAAGCCCAACTTCCTAAGTCATTAAGGAAATGCAAATTATAAGAAAGCAATACCACAGTGTGTCGGTCAATTTTATATGTCAAATTGCCTTGGCCACAGTACCCAGATATTTGGTCAAACATTACTGTAGATGTTTCTGCAAAGGTATTTCTTGATGATATTAACATTTAGATGGGTAGACTTTGAATACAGCAGATTACCCTCCATAGTATGGTTGGACCTCATCCAATCACTTGAAGGACTTAATAGAAAAAGAACGACCTCTCTTGAAGAAGGGGGAATTCTGCCAGCAGATGGTCTGCAGACTTGAACTGCAACATCAACTCTTCCCTGGTTCTTCAACCTGCTGCCTATCCTGAAGATTTTGGACTTGGCAGCCTCCATATAAGCCAATTCCTTAAAACCTCTCCCTCCCTCTCCACACATACACACACCCCCACCCACCCACACACCCACATCTTTATTGGCTCTCTTTCTCTGGAAAGCCCTAATACACATATCCATCACAAGGGCTAAAATGAAAACCACTGACAAGGCCAAGTGGTGTTGAACACGTGCAGTAACTGGAATTCGCGTGCTTTGCTAGCAGAAGTGGAAATTTGTACGACCCCTTCAGGTACCTGTTTGTCAGTGGCTACCAAAGCTGAACCTGTGAATACCCTAAGCAATTCCACACTAAAGCACATACCTGCTAATAAATGTTCATCAAAAGATATACATTAATGTTCCCAGCAGCACTATTCATGATGGCCTCAGGCTGGAGACAACCAAATGTCCATCAACAGCGGAATAGATGAATGAATGGCATTATAATCAAATGATGTAGAAACTCATATAATAACTTGTATCTCACAAACATAGCTTGAGTGAAGGAAGTCGAACTGTGGGCAAACCTCACTGATGCTGTTTGAATCGGAAGAGAGCAAAGGGATTGGACCTGGGCAACATGACGAGCTTCGGCAGTGTACCATTTCTTCACCTGGGTGGATCTTACATGGATATATTTAGGGTGTGAAAATTCATCCATCTGTATAGTGATGTTCAGTGCACTTTTCTGCACGTATTGATAATTCAATTAAAAAGATTCATTTTAAGAAAATATGTCTCTGTCACTGCCTGTTTGAGGGAAGTTATTCGTTTTGGAGCCTCAGTTCCTCTGCTGTAAAATGCTGCATGGATTTAAAAGGATGGTCTATGGGAAAATCCGTAAAGTATAAATGTAAAGATATTGCCACATACACTTCATAGGGTATGTACTCAATAAAGGTGACATGAAAGTTAAGTCTAAGGGAACTCTCTCTGTGTGCCAGATGCCCAACATGCCTTATTTTGATTTAACAACCCAATTACCCTGAATTTACTTCTGAGGAAACTGGAAGCTTAGAGAAGAAAAGTAGCTTGCCCAAATAATCCAGCTGGGAACCATGATAGGCCTCAAGTGGGTGTGAGTAAGAAGCTGGCCTCAGGCCGATGGCCCAGCACAACATATACCAGGGTCCCGCTGGAACGCTCTGGCAGCAAAAAGGTGCTGTCTCCTCTCCCCTCCCCCAGGCCCCCAACTTCATTGACCGACACTCCACGTTGGTCAAATCCAGGGTCAGCCGCTCACTCTGAAACCTTCCTCATACCCAGCCACGGGGAGGGGTGTCCCAATGGCCTGCTCCCTTTCCTCCCACCCTCTTCTTGGTTCAGCTCATTTCTTCAAAGGACTGTGCCCCATTGTCTGCTCTCTACCCCCAGTGATCCCGTTCCCAAACCGCACAGCCACTTTCCAGCTGACTGGTCCACCATCGCCCCAACCGAACGCTTCCCGCTCCCCGGCTGTCTGCAGCGTGGTCAACCCCAGACGCTGTCTGCCCCCTGACCACAGGGCGTCCCTCCTGCCTCGCGGACCCCATTGCCGACGCCCCGCCCACCTACTGCTCACGCCCCGCCCCGCGGTCCCGCGGCAGCGCGCGCCCCTCCCCTCCGCACGTGCACCATGGCCCCGCCCCCGCCGGGCGGTCCCGGCAGTCCGCCGGCGTCTCTGCGTCCTGGCGGTGCGCTTCGCGGGTCCTGAGGAAACTCCGCGGCGGTTCCGCTACCAGGGCGGCGATGGCGGCGGGCGGCCGGGAGCCCGAGCGGGACGTGGCGCGCTTCGTTTACGTGACACGCTTCGGCTCGTACCGGTGCGGCGGCGTGTTGCAGCTGGGCAGCCGCCGGGCTCAGGGCCGCGGGAGTACCGGGCGCGGGGTCGGCTGCAGCCCTGAGGAGCCGTGGGCGGCGGCCCCAGCCGGCGCGGAGCTGGCCCCCCGCCCTAGGTCCCGGACCCCTGCTGCTTCCCCTCCGGCGTCGAGAGCGCGGAGCTGTCCCCAGCCGGCGGCGCGAGCAGGTGGCCCCTAGGGGGCGGCGGACGGGCGGGCGGGAGCGAGCCTCTGTCTCAGAGCGGTGGGCGCCTCAGCCTCCCGTCAGCGTTCTGTCAGCCTTCCGGCTCAGCCTCGGTAATCCCGCGCCACCCGCGGCTTCGGGGCCGCGGGCGGCCACTCTCGGCTTCCTGTCAGCCCGGCGGCGTGTGCGGGGCGAAACAGGAGCCCCCCACCTGTCTCTGGCTTTACGCGGGTCCTGGAAAGGGCGCCGAAGGGCACGTGCCGCTCACGTAAGATCCGCCAGACTGACAGGAAGGGTCACTGGATGGAGCCACTTGCGTCCCACACAATGAGGGGGCCCGTGGCGTGCTTGTTGGTATTCTTAGTGGCCACTGAATTTATATATTAGCTTAAGGAGGACTGACGTCTTTACCAGGCTGAGGCACTTCCTTTCTAAAAATGGGAACGTCTTTCCATTTGTTCAGACTGCTTTTGTGTCTTTTCGGAATGTTCTAGATTTGAAATTTTCTATAGGTTTTGTGTATTTCTTTGTTAAATTTATTCCTAGGTGTTTGATTTTCTGTTGTAAATGGGGTTTCCTCCAACGTAATCCCCTCTGTTTATTGTTTGTATATAGGAAGGTTCTAGATCTTCTTTCTTTTCTTTACTTGAGAGACAGAGGGGAAAAGTAGACTCTGCTGCGGTGAGGCTAGATCTCAGGAGCCCGACATCATGACCTGAGCTGAAATCGAGACTGAGAAGCTCAGTCAGCGGAGCCACCCAGGAGCCCCACTTCTTGATCTCTTAAAAAAAAAATTTTTTTCAACTGTATTTAGGATTGGTTTTATATACATTTTGAGGGGGTTCGATAAAGTTATATCTCTAGTAACACACCACCACAATGAAGATGCAGAGCATTTCTATTTCCTGGAAAAGTCCTTCCTCTTTTTTGAGAGCTTATCCCGCCACCTGTGCTTTTTTAGAGTTCATTCAGCTCACCTATTAAAAGCGCACAATTGTGCTTTTGACAGAAATGTGCGACCATCACCATACTCAATTTTGGAACATTTATAATACCCCAAAAGAGAAACCTGTAATTTGTACCATACCCTGTACCCATTAACGCTCAGGATTCCCTCTCACTGCCCACCCCTAACCCTAACCCTACTGCTAAGCAAATTCTAAACTTTGTCTTGATAGATTTGGACATCGCATATAAATCGCATCATACAATATGTAAGCTTTCCTGATTATCTTCTTTGGATTAGCGTATTGGTTTTTGTGTGTTAACTTTAGATCCTAGCACTTCAGTGCATTCTTTTATTATTAGAGTAAGTTTTATCATTGATACTGATTGTCCAGGTATATGATGATGTTATTTGCAAATAGAGAAAATTTCATTTCTTTTTTCTACCCATTCCTATGCCTGAAGTAGATTTGTTTTGTCTTACTGCATCCATTAGCTACGACCTCATGTACAGTGTTGAATAGTAGTGGAGATTGTGGGCATCCTTGCCTTATTCCTGACCTTAGGGGAAATGCCTCTAGTATTCCTCACTAAATAAGGTACTGGTTTAGGACCAAGGCATACATATTTAAAATCTTAAAAAGTATTCCTCAATTTTTATTTTTTTCAGTTTTTTTTTTAAATCATAAATGGGTATTGAATTTTGTCAAAGACTTTCTCAGACCTATGGAGATAAACACATTTTACTGTTAGATTTATTAGTATGGTATATAATATAAATGGATTTTCAATATTGAGCCAACCTTGCATTCTTGCAATAAATCCTACTTGGTTATGATGTGTTATTTTCTTAAAGTAGCTTGAACTCTGCTAATAATTTGTTTAGAATTTTACATCGTGATCTGTAGTTTTTCTTTCTTTGTGCTTCATCTGGTTTAGGTGTTAAAGTTATATTTACTTAATACAAGGAATTACAAAGTTTTCCTTCCTTTTTAATGCTCTGGAAAAATTTGTAGAACAGTGGGACTATCTGGTGTTTGAAGGTTTTATAGAATTCTGTGAAATCATCTGGGTCTAGTGCTTTTTGTGGAATAATTCCTTAACAACTTTTTCTCTGTCTTCTATGAAATTGCTCTTTTTAAGCTTTCTAATTCTAATGGGTGAATTTTGGTAATCTATATTTCCCTAGGAAATTATCTGTTTCATCTGTGTTTCTAAATCTGTTTGCATAGAAGTACGTGAAGTAGTGTCTTATAATTTAAAAAAATTTGTTGTGTTTCAATTGTTATTTCCCACCTGTCATTTTTTTTCTGTATGTATGTGTACTCCCCCCTTTTCTTGATCAAGTTAGCCAGTGTTTTGTTTTAATTTTTAAAAAAACAGGATTTCAATTTATTAATGAGACAACTTGTTTTTCTAGTCTTTTTCTCATTAAAAAATAAAAAAGGTGAAACTTTATTATCTCCTTGCATGTACTTTCTTTTTGTTTACTTTGTTCTTTTTATACTTTTTCTTTCAGCAGGACATTTCATTCATTTATTTTTATTCTTCCTTTTTCTTGATAAGTGTTTATTGCAATACATTTTCTTCTAACAACTACTTTAAGTCCCATAGATTCTATATACACAGTGTTTCCATTGTCACTATTATTTAAAATTATAATTTCAGTTTGTATTACCCTTCTCATTCTAGAGTTACTTAATAGATTCAAGGTTTTTTTTTTTTTTTAATGTCTGGGAATTTTTTGTTTTGTTTTCGTTAGTACACTGTTTTACTGAATTATTTTTTAAAAAAGATTTTATTTATTTATTTGTCAGAGAGCACAAGCAGGGGGAGTGGCAGACAAAGGGAGAAGCAGGCTCCTGCTGAGCAAGGAGCCCGATGTGGTACTGGATCCCAGGACCCTGAGATCATGACCTGAGCCGAAGGCAGACACTTAACCTACTGAGCCACCCAGCTGTCCCTATTTTGTTGCATTTTGATCCGAGTGTTTGTAAGGTCTCCATTTTTACGGATGCTACTGATGTTTTCTTTGTGACCTAATTTATGATCCTTCCGTTTTGTTCTTTTTCTCCCCTGGAACCCATGCAATTGGAAGACTATCCCTTTAAATCAGCTTGCCCTTTAAACTCAGTCAGTTCCATTAAATGGCATGCTTAGTACTTTATGTGATGTCTGGCCTTTTAAATTGCACATTGAAATCCCTTCTCTGTCATTTGTGCTCTAATCTGTCTGGTGTTGTTTTAGTATTTTCAAATTTAGGGTGGATTTAATCTTTCTGTTGGTTGCTGCAGCTCTCCTGCAGGTACTTTTTCTGGTGTCCCTCTTCTCTTCCCTGGTGGCCACAAAGCCCTGCTTGGGTGGAGCTGGAGCATATAGGATCATAGCTCTGTAATTGAATGATTTTTCTTATTTTACTTAAATGTTATTTTGCAGTTTCAGTGTTTTCTGTCCTCAAGTAATGCTGAGGGTGTGGTTTTGTGTAGAATTTTCAAAATGTGAAGTTTGGTGTGAAATTTTGGGAATGCAGCTTCTCTACATTTCTCATGGTCTTCAGTGACTCAGAAAGTCCAAAACTGAAGGTTTCTGAACAAGAGAAGTAAGGGGCACTTTGGTTCCTCAGTCGGTTAATGGACCGACTCTTGGTTTCAGCTCAAGTCATGACTTCAAGGTTGTGGGATTGAGCCCCACATTGGGTCTGTGCTCTGCACAGAGTCTGCATGCCCCTCTCCTTCTGCTTCTCCTCTTCCTCTCTCTCTCTCTCTCTCAAGTAAATAAATTTTAAAAAGAGAGAAGTGATAGAGTTAGATTTACTCAGGCCATGCTATATAAGAGAGAGCAAATTGGAGGCAGGCAAGACTGAAGCCCAAGTTGAGGAATGTATAAATATTTTGTTTGTTAGCCTTCCAGACTAAATTCACTTTGATAATTTAGATGTATAAGATGGTACTCTGTGGGACTTGATTGACTCCTGAGAATGAGCTGTGGCAGGAAGCCTTCAGATATACTAAGCAGGGCCATGATTTTGGACTCCAAGCCCCTCTAATGGCCTCAGTGTTAAAAGGCACTCAGGTTTTTGTTTTGTTTTGTTTTGTTCTGGCCCCTCTGCCAAGGATCAAAAAATCCAGGGGTAGTATAAGACACTTTAGCCCTGGGTTTCCAGCTTCTTTGAATAGTTGAAACAAGATAAAAGGTTTACTCTAGGAAAAGGAGAGAGTATGGTGATGGTGGTGGTAGTAGTGGCGGTGAGGAGCTCTACAGCTTAGGCAAGAAGCCAGGAAAAAATACAGTGGATTTGATTGAGAGCCGATATTGCTTTAGTGCCACAAATCAAAGGACGAATAATAGTCCATCAGCAAGATAGTGGATTAAAAGTGAAGAACACTGAAAGTGGATGAAGAAGCTTCTGGAAGAAAGGGGGGTGGAATGGAAGGGACGCATGAATTCGTGCTTGAGATCACCACCTATGCCAGTTAGGAGTAACTGGGTAGCTGAGATTATAAAACCAGTGTTGTGTTGTTGTAACTTTATGCGGTGCAGACCTAGGATCACTTTCTTATGCTTGGTTTCTCTGCTGAGGTGGGAAAAGACAATAAGGCAGTTTGCCCTGAATTTTGGTTTTGAAATTTTGGGATTTTTGCTGCTCCTTTGTAGTAGGGGTAACATGATCTGATATGGAGGACGGAGTTGGGCTGGGAGAGATTGGAGGCCAGAGTCCTGTTAGAGGACAATCACAGTAGTCCAGTGCAAAGATAAAAGGTCTCACCCAAGGCAGCAACAATATAGAATACACAGGATCAATGACTGACTAAAATATGGAGAAGGAAGTTTTGATGCCAACTCTGAAGTTGATGCGCTAGGCCGCTGGGCAGACGATGGAGCCATTAACTTCAGAGTCCCCTTGCTGTGCTTGTGAGACCAGGAATAGGGTCATAGATTTATATTTAAACCAAGCCAGAAGTGCTTAAGTTTTACTCTGTTTTTGGTATATTTAATATTAATATTAAGGGGATGTTTATTAAATACTTATGCTTCGTACTCTATGGGGATTAGGTAAATTATGTATCCATTCAACAACATTGAACACTTTCAACACTGTGGGAACTAGATTAGGTGCTAGTGACATAGATGAATCAGAATATTCTGCTGTCAAGGAACTTCTAAATGAATAATATGAATATAAGCTAGTAGACAGGAATGCTGTAAGAGAGATCTGACAAAGGCTTTAATAGTTTAGGGAAAGGAAAGACATAAAGGTAGGAAATAAAGGGACACAAATGGGAGAAATTGCTAGTGGAAGGTTGAGATTATCAAGAGCATTGGCTTTGAAATCAGAAAGATATAATCTTGGCTCTGTCATTTACTAGTAGTGTAATATTAGCCAACTTAACTACTCTGATTCTCTGTTTCCTTATATGTAAAATGGGAATAATAGTTCTTACCACAACAGGTTACTACAAAGACTAGGAGAAGTACAGAATGCATGCAGAGTACCCAGCACAGTGTTTGATATAGAATAAATGTACAGAGATGGTTTGGAGGAAAGGGGGGGGGGATTATCCCAGTGAGTAGTATATAGTAGGCCTGAATAATATTGAATGAATGAAAACGAAGTTTTGGACCAGATTGTAGAATGCCTTGGAGACTGTCATTTCATAGTCACTGAAGATTTTTGAATGGTGGAGTAAAGTGATCAGAGACAGGTACACTTCTGTAAGATATACTTGAAGTTGTTTTTGTAAAGTGTAGTGGAGTTTAGAAATCCAGGAGCAGGAAAATCAGGTAACTCTTCTAACATTTCAAGCAAGACTAATAAATCAATTCTCACAGAACTTGGGAGATATATTCATAATTTATATACAATAGAGGATGACAAGTGCTCTTGTGGAAGTACAAATAATTGCTTTGGAAGTGGTGAATAATTTGAGGGTGAGGGAATCAGGGAAGGTTTTATGGTGATTGAAGCTCCATGAGAGTCACACATGTTGCTGAGCCAGGAGGGAATTACTGGTGGGAAAAATTGTGTGAGCATAGCCCTGTGTATAGATCTGTAACAGAGAGTGATTAGGGAAGAAGTAGGAGTATATTTTGAGTGTGTAGAAACCGTGTAGAAAGAAGGCTAGAGAAAGACTGGAAACATTAAGTTGGGACAAAGTCTTTGGTGTAGGCTGGAGCTCCCCTTAGTGAAGTTTGCAAAACAAGTAGGAGAAATGATTTTGTCTTTTTTCTTTCTTACATCCTCTATACTCCTTGATATTTTAGATCCCCAGTAATTACAGGTAGACTTGATGGTTCCTATCCTGACCTCAAGGAGTCATGTCTAGGTTAGGCAAGACTTAAAATGGAGAACATTTGAGAATGATGCAAGTACAGTATTCCAAAGGTGTTGGCATTTAGAGAAAAAGGTACATCTGGGTATATGAAGAACAGAGATTCTTAGACTTGAGTTGTTTTCCTACCATATCATCTGCACTATCATTTACTTAATATATTTATTTAAATATTTGCATTTTTTCCTCTCAACTAAATTTCTTTTGAGAACACTTTACATCATTATCTCAGTGACAAACTTATACAGTTTGCCACAAATAGAAATTAATTAAAAACAATCTAATAAAGACAAAGCAATATTATTAAATTCTAGCCAAATAGCTTGTCTAACAAATGTTGTCTGTAGTCATAGAGAGAGAGAAGCTAATCTCTGAAGTCATATTGACATATTAGTTCCAAACTCAGACTTTCTCCCTGATGTAATCAGATTAAAAAATAATGGGAAAGATATTGAGTTTCTCACTGTATGATTTAAGGTTCTTTAGTGCCAGTCTGTGCCCCACCCAGAATCAGTGGCACGCTTCTTACAAATTGGGAAATGCCATTTTATTTTATTTTTTTTTATTTTTATTTTTTTTAAAGATTTTATTTATTTATTTGACAGAGAGAGAGATCACAAGTAGGCAGAGAGACAGTCAGAGAGAGAGGAGGAAGCAGGCTCCCTGCTGAGCAGAGAGCCCGATGCGGGCCTTGATCCCAGGACCCTGGGACCATGACCCGAGCTGAAGGCAGAGGCTTTAACCCACTGAGCCACCCAGGCGCCCGGGAAATGCCATTTTAGAACATATTCTAATTCACTAGCAAAAGTAATACTTATTGCCTATCTAATATGTATGGTATTAGATACTGGATCTCTAATAAAGAATAAAACACACTCCCCAAGTTAACAACATGAAAAATCTCATGGTAATTGAGCATAGGGTGCTTTCTGAAATCAGAGAAGTTTCCTGGAAAGCTAAATATTGAATGGGGGGAAGAAAGCCAGGTATAGAGTGGTAGTGGTAGGGCAGGGGTAAGGTGGGTAAGGGTTTGGGTGGGTGGATTACAGACAAATATAAAGGCTTTCAGGGAGCACATGCTCACTGTTTTATGACTTTGTCTTTGGACACACAAGCCCTTGGGTTTTCTTCTAACAGTTAATATTTGGGAAGGCAGCATGGTTTAGTGAGTAGAGGAAGGAAACTTACTCACTCTGACAAACCTTTATTAGTACCTACTATGTGTCTGGTTGTGTGGGTAGAAAAATGGCAAAGACACACATAGCTTTGCCCTTAGGGAGGTCACAGCCTAATAGAGGAAACACATTATAAATATGTGATATAAAAGTGTGCTAAGTGATGTGACTTCGGTGTTCCTGGAGCTAGTGCTGTGCACTGTAGAGAGGTGATGGTGTGAGCTGAGTCTTGAAGAGCAGGTAGAAATTTGCCTGGCAGGTGTGTGTGTGTGTACGTACACGCATGCATGTACACAGAGTGTTTTAGCCATCTAGAACAGCATGTGTGAATGCTGGGAAGTATAAGAACACGGCACTTGAGGAACCAAAGGTATTTGGGACAGTTGAAATCATAATGTGTGTCTGGAGTTGAATGGAGAAGAAAGGAGAATATAGAGATGCATTGGGTCAAGATGTGGCTTCTGGTATTTGTTTGGTGTTGCTGACTTTTTGGGACTCATCTGTCAAATCAGTAAAGAAAGGAGATTTCCTAGGCATTTCCAAGGTAGTTTCTTGGTTTTCTCCTCCAGCATATTACTAGCTAATTTGTAAACTGGTATTATCTAGTGACTAGAAATATACCAACGAGTGTAAAAATCCCCAAAGACAGCTCAAGAGACATTTATAATTGTGCCTGTTATCAGGATAGTGAATCCTGTAAAATATGTGCCGGCCTTGATCTTTTACCTTTTCACTCTCTCTCTTTTTTTTTAAATTAGCTTTAACCCAGAAGAATTTAGCTAAAAAGTTTGATTTCCCCATCCCTTTGAAAGAAGCTTCCAAAGTAGCGAAGAAAAAGAAAAAGGTATATTATAAAGGAGAATGAGCAGTATTTGAATTTTAGATTAACCTTTCTAAATACAAATGTGTGAAGATACTCAACAGTAGAAATAGTTCCATCTTTTGAAAGTTTAATTTACTGAAGTGAGAAAATAGAATTAATTTAGCAGAAATGGAATTGGGTTTGGAAATATTTATTAACTGTAGAGAACAGTCCTTCCGGTGTTTGAAGATATAAACACATTTTAATCAAAATGTAATGGGAGATTTTTCAAAGCATGAAAATGTATGTCTCATAGAATATAGCAAACTTCAATAGATAGTATAATATAAAGAGAAAATCATGGATTTAACAGAAAAGAATAACATATCTGTATTGGTGTCATATTGCTCTTTTAAAGACAAGGGATATACATTTAGTTTGTAGAAGGAAAGCTAACAGTGATGAGCCTTTACTGCTGAACCATTTTCACCTCTAGTTGTCCACATATCATGGTAATTTGAGTGTTTTAAACATATTCAAGATCACTAGCTCTACAAATCTTTGTTTTCTACCATATATTTTACACTTTGGTTTAAAGAAACTATTAGTGATAATGACATATAAAATTGTATTATTTCTGCACTTTGACTCTGTATGAGTTACAACCCAGGCACCGTATAAAATAACGTTCAAGGAGATTCACCCTAAATGTATTTTGAGTGTACATCTCATCTTCCCTCTATGTTAAGAACTATTTCTTCCAAGAACCAATTCCCCTTGGGTGAGGAGAACAGAGCGGTAGCCAATTTTTACTTATAACTAATATATGTCACATACTGAGGTATGTGCTTTATCTATATTTCATATATTTATACATATTTTTCACTAATTCTAATAATCCAATATATGAAGTTATTATTAGATGAGATGTAAAACACTTCCCAATGTCAAGCAACTGTTAAGTGGCAAAGCCAGAATTTGAGTCTAGATTTGTTTGCTTCCATAGTTCTCATTGGAGAACTGTCTGGTATTTTTGCTTTGGTGTGTCCTAGGAGAAATGTTTAATTCTTAACTAGAATAAAATACATTAAAAACTACAAGAAAATACAAAAAAATACCATTAAAAACAAAATTGGATGTGTTGGAACAACTTAGGTAGGACTTTATAGATCTTGCCTTCATCCAGGAGAGTTAATGTAAATACTACAGAGAGGAAATGCTAGGAAGTTAGCAGAAGAGATGACTGATTGTATGAAAACAATTACATTTAAGTTTTAGGTCTCTAAGTGCTGTTATTGTTTTATAGTGATACCCATTGACAGGCAACACGGTTGAGTCACTGCCAGTTGCCTCTGTCAGAATGTATTCCTGCTTCTCTGCTAAGTGTTCCTTAACTCTGCTTACTTTTTTAAGGTTTCAGTATGGAATAGAGTGTACAAAGTCATTTCTAGAATGCTTGAAGAAAATGAAAAATATAGACTCAGGCTGAAATACCAACAACTATCCTGTGAAAGTAAGTTAACACAATTTTTGATTGTATTAAAGAAGACTGGCTTCCCTAACCATTTAGTCACCCTTGGGTCACATTAGTCTAGTACTTCTCCTAATGGTCACATTCAGTGTACAGGACTATAGAAATGTGGCTACCATATTATCACTGTTCATCATAATTATAAGTACAAAACGTTTTAAGCTGAGCTATAGACTAGACCACAGGCGTAGGTGTGAGTGGAGGGGCATAGAAGGTAAATGTTGACTAAATTTACTGAGCGAAAGGAACACACTTGTTTGTTAAATCTGAATTTTAATGTCAGCTTTTTAATACAATTACAAAACTCATCCATATTGAAGAAAAACATTTTAACTGCAATATAAAATGATATATTCTGTGTCACTTTGTTACTTCCTTCCATGGATGCTGCAGTCTAATGCATTTGACAAAACTGCCCTTGAATTATGGCCTTGATGTCATGAATTCATTCCTGGAAAACAACTCATAAATTAAACCAGGTTCTAAAGCTGCATCAATATTGAATTGATATTGTGGGCAGAGCAAAATTAGATGTAATCTTGTATACTTATTGAAGTAATTGGAAGTTCTGGATTCTCAAGTTGGATTAAATTTATGTAACTAATAATGCCACATGAATTGATAGATCATAATAGTTACTTCCTTTCCTTCACATACTTGTTCTAATATTCATGTTACCATGCTGAACACTTTTATAGGTTTTTAGTACCATCACTCAATGACAGCTACTATTTTGACAGTAAATCTGCAGAATTGAGTTTTGTGAAGATCATTTTCATAAGATGATAATTAGAATAGAATGCCATTTTGTAAGCAGTGTTACACTGGAAACTCATTACTCTTTGTGTAATATTGCATTAATAATGGCATAAATTGTTTGCAATGAGGACGTATAAACCAATGTTCAGATTAGTGATACTCTATTTTATTTATTCAGTTAAGAAGGAGAATGAGGCAGAAGTGAGGATTAGGAGGAAAACAGTAGTCTGTGGTTTTTTAGGTGATAAGGATGTTTGAATAGATAGAGCAATGCACACAAACCCTGAATATTGTTCTAGGTGTTAATCCAGATCCAGTTACTTTAATAGACAGATTACATCTAATATTGCTCTGGCCATACCTTGAACTTGTCAATTCTCTTGTGATATTTACTACTAACCATCAAGTAATCTTATAAAGCTTATTTGGCAAATTAAAATAATATTCTGTGTTTTCCAGAAATAGCTTGTTATAAACAAGTACCCTTGTAATTTATTATTTTGCATTACAATTTTCAACCAGATTATAAAAACTGATAATATTGTTTTAGAAATGTATTATAATTCTTATTTCTTAATATGTATTTATTAATGGGAATACCAGTGCTAGAGTCCAACTTGAATTTTCTGTATATTTTATGTTGTTCCTAGACTCAAATTACACAAGATGAAATCTTATCTTCTGGTAAGAATCCATTTATATAACAGTTATAAAATATAGGTTTTATTCCTTCCCCTTTACACTTACCTTTTGCAACCTTTAGTGTATGCCCATTGCTGATTCCAGCCTGTTTCCTTCCTTTAACCCAGTGTTTGGCACATAGTAAGCACTCATTAAATATTTGTTGAAACTTAATAAACTTCATTTGAGCCCCATATTTATAGTGCTATTGAAACTACTCTTTCCATGATCCATGGTTTTTGTTTTTGTGGGTTTGTTTGTTTGTTTATATTTCCTGGCTCGCTTTTCTTTCTGAACTTGTCACATTTAATATTATCTTACTACTACTTTCAATTTTTCTTCTTTCTTAGTGTCCTGAAGGATATGACATGGTTTTCTTTCTGCTTTTCTGACCATATTTTTTTGTGTCTTTTTTAATTGTCCCTTTTGCTACCACTGAATAACAAATGCTGCCCTGAGAGTAATTGTTGGTTCTGCTCTCTCTTTACATATTTATTCTGAGATAACATACCCATCTAAAAAAAATATATTTATTTAATTATTTACTTATTTGGCAGAAAGAGAGAAAGCACAGGCAGGGGGAGTGGCAGGCAGAGGCAGAGAGAGAAGCAGGCTCCCCACAGAGCAGGGAGCTGGACCTGGGGCTCTAGCTCAGGATCCTGGGATCCTGACCTAAGCCAAAGGCAGAGGCTTAACCAACTGAGCCACCCTGGTGCCCCAATATACCATTTTTATAGCTTCAGTTACCCTGTGTGTATGACCCTTAAATCTTCCTTCTACCTTTGACCTCTGAATTTCTTTAGGCGATTCTACAGTTATTTTTAAAAATTACATGTTTTGAATCAGTGAATCATGTCTCCTCCTTTCATTTCAATTGTGCTTTGGTTTGCTAATTTTCTGGGTTCATTGAATTTCTAGGGAGAGATTACATCCAGTTTGGTTGGGTTTGGGAAGTACTAGAAAAATAAGATGGGTGTTGAGAAAGAGAAATCAGAATTTTCTACATGGGAATGTGGGGGAGGGGTGTATATTTTAGATATGGCCATGAGCAAGTTCATGGAGTCCAAGAAAATGTTCAGGAATGTAGTTTGATCAAGCCTTGTTTATGGTATTCATTGTGAAGAAAGGTATAAAAGTATACTGAGACTATTTCAGAGGGTCTCATGTGAGTAATATTTGTATTCCATTAAATAGGCAATAAAAAAATGAAACATCTTCTTAACGCTTTATTTTAAATGATTACAAATGAACAGAAAAGTTGCAAGAATAATACAAAGAACTCCAGCACACCCTTTACCTAGTTTCGCTGATTTTTAACATCTTGTCACATTTGCTTTTTCATTCTTAGACACTTTCTCTCTTTCTCTGTGTATATATGTGTGTGTATAAAATATTACTCCTTAAGGGGTGCCTAGGCAGCTTAGTTAAGCATCTGAGGTTTAATTTTGGCTTAGGTCATGGTCTCAGGGTGGTGAGATCAAGCCCTGTGTCTGTATTCATGCTGAGCATAGAGTGTGCTTGAAATTTCCTCCCTCCCTCCCTCTCCCTTTGCCCCTCCCTGCAAGCTCTTTCTCTTAAAAAAAAAAAAAAAAAAAAAATATATATATATATATATATATATATATATATGTAAATCCCTTAATACTTTAGTGTCTATATCCTAAGGACAAAGGTATCTTTTATATAACCACACAACAATCAAATTCAGAAAATTTATTTTTCCTTTGTAATTAATAAGTATTTTATAGAAACATAATAAAAGACTATGCAAATACCTTGTACATCATCAGTATAGAACATTTTAAAGCAGTGGATTGATCATATCTGCATTTTAGAAAGAATCTGATGTTATTTTGTAGAAAGGTTTGGAATGGAGGCAAGACAGGAAGTGAAAAAACTGGGAATTCTGACAAGGTCCAAGTAAAAGTGAAATGCTCTTAAATGGGAGTAGCAGAGTGGGTGGAGAGGAGACAAAGGATTTGCTGTGGGGGATAAGAGAGAGGATCTGAAGTTCTGTAAATGAGTAGATAAGAAAGAAGGAAGTCAGGAGAACTGGTTTTGTGAAGCTGCTGAATTTTATTTTGGTGTGTTGAATTTTAGCTGTAGTGATATATTCAGGTGAAAATTCCAGGTGCGCTGCTGGAAGTGTCCTTTTGGAGCTAGTGTACAATCTATGCTGCATGAAGGTCACAGGTAGTTGTGGCAATAGATGTGCATGGAAACCTCAATGTGAGGATGCTGGAGGAGGAGAGGATTGAGATCACAATGTTGGTGATGTCTAAGACGAAGAGGAATTCTTAGTTTCAAAGAGTGATTTGTAGGAGCTTAATCAGAAGTCATGATAGGGATACAAACAAAGCTTGCCGAAGATAAGGGGCTTGGCAGTTCAAAGAGTTGCAAAGTCCTTGTTCAGTGAGAGTGTAGGGATACAAAAAGTGGGAGTATAGAAATACTTCAGCTAGGAACAATTTAAGAGTCTGCACCTAGAAGTTACGCAAAAGTGCCAACGGATGACATTGTTCAAAACAATAACCCACTTGTGAGTGGCTTGTAGTGACCTGGAGATAGAGGACTATGATACAGTGTTTTTGTCACACAGTTTCTGTAAATGGAGCTGTTGAAGTCATCAAGGTTTTTGGCAGGAGCTGGAATGGAGAAGAAAATTATGAGTTATACACTGAGTGCATCAGAAGCTTTTTATGGTCAACTAGAGAGTAAAATTTATCAAAACAGTAAATATAGGAAGTGGCTAATTGTTGCTTAGTAGTCTTAGATAAAATATTTCAGTGACTATTGACCATGACATTTTATCTTAACAAGATTCAATTTTGTTATCTTTTATTTAGGATTAACCTATCTTTGGATCTGTTTATCTAAGAAGACTGTGAAGAGTTTAAAGATGGAACTTTAAATTGAATCATAACTATATGTTAATTTTGGCATGTTTTGTTGGAATTGGGACTTTCATAGTTGAATAGAAAAACTACCTTCATTATAAATTCATAATTGAATAGAAAAATTACCTTCATTATAAGTAAATTATGTATTTCCTTGCAAGTTAATACAAATTTTTGTTAAATATTATTATCATATGCACACAAGTGTTACACAGATCTTATTCAAGTGTGAATTAATACTTATTCCATATCTTTTTAAAGTAATCTTATACATTAAATTTAAATTTTATTATAAATTTAAATTTAAATAGTAATATAATTGCAGGCATTTACAGTTGCCAACTTTTCCCTTTTATTAATGAGTCTGCAACCACTACTTTATTCATTCTTCATTTAGATGTAAATGATTTAAATTAAACTTGGATTCCATTTAAATTGTTTTTTGGCTTCCTTTTTCTAAATTTCTCAATTGTTTTATCATAAAAATCTACAATTTACATAGTGATGATTATTTTGGGTGTTAAAACTAATGCTTATTTAAACCATCTTTTCATCCTAAGGAAAATTAGAAAATTTGTGTAAATTCTAAATTGTAATATGGATTATTTTAGGAAAATTTGGAGGCAAAGATCAGAGGAAACATTCTTTTCCTTTCCAAGCCCTTAATTATTAGACACATTATTTTTTTTTCAGTCAATAAATGAGAGATTTAGTATTTTGAAAATAATTTGGAAATGTTTCTTAGTGGAGTCCCATTATTTTCTACTCAGTATTAAGTAGTATTCAACTGTTGCCTAGACCATTTTTTTTCTGCTTTTTGTTGATGCAGTCTCTCTCTGTAAATTGTATTAAAGGCCTAGGTTGAACTGAAAACTTAGGAAGAGAAGTCAAAAAGAGGTTTGCCCATGAAAAAGGCAAATAAAACAAAGAAACCTCACATGCATACTGAATTCTTTTACCACAAAAATTGAAGCACATGTATAGTAGATCTCTTTGGTTCTAGAGGCAATAGATTCCTCACCTAGAAATATTGGCCAGGTCCTTATGTTAGGTGACACAGAACGTTGCCAACTTTGAGTGGGATCCAGTGCAGGAAAGGGCTCTGCAATAGGTCCAGCCTGGGGTATAAGTCCTGCTGCTTGAGTCATGTGAATTGGGAAGACTCTATGGTGTTGGAGATACCATTAATGGGAACAGATGTAGTATGAGGCTTATATAAGGAAAGCCAACCACAGACCCCATAATGGAATTATAAATCAAGGCTATGCTGTTCACAACATAAAATTAAATGCCTTTAGAGAGAAAGTTTTGACATGTTTTGAGGCTCTGGTAGAGAGAAATTTACTTGGCCATGAGGCAAACAAACAACAAAATAACCAGCAGCAGACTGCCATAAAGTGAAAATAGTACATCTGGGAAGGAAACCTTCCCAGCAGGAGGTTCCTAAGTGGGACCAGAGAACACAAGTAGGCTATGTGAGGCAGTAGTCCAGTCCTCAGGTTACCCACATCCACTATACTAGCTCGCCTCCCCTTGCTTGCACCTATGGCCAATATGAGAAGTCCCATATAATCAGATGAAATAGGAGGAAAAGTCTGAGCTTTGGTTTATGAATGGATTGGTTCAGTTGTGCATACAAAGCAATAGAGATGGTGGCAATACTATGACCATGTTCCAGAGTGGCCCTGAAAGACATTGGAAAGGGACACGTGTGGTGTTGCAAGCTGCACACCTGGTCATCCACTTTGTAATATAGGGGGAGTGTCTCAAGGTGAAAATCTTTGTGGATTCAAGTGGCCTGGCCATTTTATCTGGAGCCTGGTAAGAAAGATGAATATTGGAGACAAAAAGGTAAGGTATAGATTAGAGGTATATGGATGGACATATGGGAAGGGACAAAGTGTGAAGATTTTTGTTTCACATGCTAACACTCATGAGAAGAGGCACTGAACAACTAAGACAGAATAATGACCACTTGATGTTAACTTCCTATCTTCATTGGCTACCCAGGAACTTGACTGTCTTTCTGTTTTCAGTTTTTTAATTTCAGTTATTATTTTTTTCCTTATGCCTGCTTTGGGCTTGCTTGTTT